AAAGTTTTTGGTATTAATGTGTTTGGACATATAGATTAATCGAATCTTTCCATATAGTGAAGGCATTTAGATCAGAATGTGAACTTCGCTATGCAGTTTCGCATTATCAGGCTCATAAAATTATCGGTATTAATAATATCAGTAAATCAGATGCTAATATACATATTTGTATGTTCGAATAAGTCTTACACCACCAATAAAATGGAGGCTTTTTTATTCTTTGACAACTTATAAAACTGATTACACGAAGATAATTTTTGTAAAAATCTTTCTATACATGAAATACTCGTTATTCTGTAAAATATATAGGAATCAAAGTGGCATTTTTATTGAGATCTTCTGTTAATAATTTCAGCACCGGGGAGACCCAAATAAGTTAAAGTAATGTTCGTACAAAGAGCTTCTTTTAACACCTTTACTCCTTCACCATTAAGTTTATTGCCAAAAAGGAACAAGGTTGTCAGAATAGTATTTTTATAAAGTGAATCCGCCAATACTTTGCTTTCTTTAATACCAAGTCGACTTTCACAAAGACTTAAAAAGGTTAATGCGATATTCTTACAAAGAGCTTCGGCTATTACTTTTATCCCTTCAAAACCAAATTTATTGTATCCAATATTTAACGAAGTTAAAATAGTGTTTTTATAAAGAGCCTCTACTATTAATTTTATTCCTTCAAAATCAATATTACAATTATATAGACTCAAGCAGGTCAGAGTTGTGTTTCTGCAAAGTGCTTTTGCTAATGCTCTGCATCCATTGATACAAAGTTTATTACCGTCAAGGTATAAAGAAGTTATAGAGATGTTTTCACAGAGAGCCCCTGTAAGTGCCTTTACACCCACAAAATCCAATTGATCATAATTAAGATCTAAAAAGTTCAAAGTAGTATTTTTGTAAAGAACATCTTTAAATGCATTTATTCCTTCATCGCCAAATACATTATCATTAATAGCTAATGACAATAGAGTTGTATTTTTACAAAGAACTTCTGCCAAAATTTTTATTTCATCAGGATTAAATTTACAATTATAAAGTCTTAATGAAGTTAAACAATTATTTTTGCAAAGAACATCTGTTAATGTTCCTAAGAATTGTTTATAATATATGTAATAAATATCGCTTAATTCTTCTTTGATTGTAGCTATATGTAAATGTTTGATTTTATCACTTGTTCGAAATAACATTGTAATTAGCGAATATATAGTTAATAAAATTGCTTCATCGGATTTATTATATCTGTTAAGATATTTATTAACGGGTCTATTTTCCGCACTGTAAATCCAGTTTTCAATTCCTCTTTTTAAATTGTACCATTTAATTGATTTAGTATAAGATGTATATTCAAATAATGGTTTTAGACCATTCTGAGAAGGCAATATATTAAATGAAACTAATGGTGCCTTTTCTTCTTCATTCATTAATAAAAAACATGTTCTTATAATTCTTTTATCTGAGCAACGCAATAACGAATCGTCCCACAATATTGGAATAATATTTCTACACCATTGACGATTTACAAGAAGGCATGAAAATAGGTATCCATAGCAACCTTTAAAGTTTTTAAATATTTCAAAAAGGCATTCATTTGGCAATGCTATCATTTTAAAATTATAAGAATTTTTTTAAAAAAATGATTCTAATTTATTTACAGAGAACGGAGGTACATTTATTTTTCGGAGTTTAAATGTCTTAAGTGGTAAAAAATTCGTGTTACATAGCCGAATGTTATACGAAATTGGTACGTATACATTACTTTTTTTGAGAAGCTTGCATTACACGTATGAAATGGGAAAAAATTCAATTTGCATTTTAATTAACCAAAACAGGACCCGTTTTCGACCCGTTTCCGACCATTTGATAGTCCGAAATTAATACAGATGTGATAACATCCGCATTAATATATTGCCCATAGATATCAGTGTTATACTGATATAACTATTAATTTATTATGTAGATGTTATCGCCATTTGGAAACGGGTCGAAAACAGGTCGGCAATTATGTAACCGCGACATTTTTATGGGGCCACTAACCCACCTGCTAAAACAATGATAGTTGCAAACGGAGAATGAAAATAATTTTCATGTTTGGATAATCTCTGCTGTAATTTGAGTTGAAGATAAGCATTGAGTGGACGGGTTCACGAGTTTCTATTAGACATCGTTGAATGGTATTTCCGATTGGACGAAAAACTCTCTTCTAAGAAGTCACGTTAATTTCAAAATTTTGGTTAAGAATTAATTTTAACGTACTAAAAAAAAATCTTACAAATCTTTGGTATAATGTTGTCCACTAATCCTAACCAAGAATTGGCAATGGGGCCAACGAAACTCAATAGTTAAACAAATAGAACGCAAAAGCATAATATCCTTCAAAACTCTCCTGGTTCCATTTGTAGCTCCATTAGTTCCAAGATGTCACATTATAAAAAGATGCCGCACAAATTAGTGCGAATAATCTCAACAAGCAGAAATTTGAGAGAATTAGTAACATCCGTAAACCATACACTCTGTTATGTAATCATGACTATGCTAGCATGCTACGTAAGGGTAATAATTAGTTAATCGGCTACACACCCGTTTAGACTACTACGTTGGGCTTAATTAATTTTATGTATATCGATCACGCTATTCACGATCACGTTATGTCATTCATAAATGTAGCATGTCCGCCGTAATTTGTGACAGGTTAAGCCACTGACTTCAATTACCGCCCGACAATGATTCCTAGAGCTGATATTATTACAAAGTTAAAGTTGAACATATATAAAAAACAATTTGATCGTATTGGTTATTTATTTTTTTACTATTTTATAAATTGATTTTTTTTTAATATAATTAAAATGTGCAAAATTAAAAGTTAAAATAACCCTATCGACTTCTAATAAGACTTAAAAGAGAACCAATTTTTTAATAAAGTTTATATTTAATTTTTTTTTAGTATTAAAGGTCCTTCAAATGACTCAGGCTATATAAATTTGGATATATCTTTTTTTAAAAAAAAAACTTATAAAGCGGAATTAAGAAAATAGAAGAGAACGATATTTCTGATGTCACTTCATTTTAGTCAAAATTAATGATAGGTGACGAAATTATCTCTGCTATTACAAAATGGTTTCGTCAATGGTTTCGTCTGACAAAATTATGACGATTGACGAAATTGCGAAATTACTGCCGATTAATGAAATTAAAGTTGACTAATAAAATTTAAGAACACAGTTGCCCTCTCCTTCGACGAGTTTCTTTATAACGACCTCTAGAAATTCTGAATTTGAATTTTTTCAAAATTAGGTATTTTTAAATTTCGTCGTACATATGAACATATAGCGTGGTTTGACAACAAACTTTTACTATCAAGCAGTCAGTTTATTATAATCTTACATTAGCCACACAAAGTTAATTTTTCGTTTTGTATTACATGAATCTGAAAATTGGTCGTTCTATCGGGAAATTAAGGCCTCCGTCGGGTAATACGGATAACCAACGAAAAAATAAATGCAAAAATCAAATCTGAAAAAATTTAAAAAATTTGAAATCAATTTGAGCTAATGAATTTTTTATTACCAATGGTTTTTTTTCGCCGTACCTATCGGATGTATCCGGCAATGTCGGGTATGCCAAAAGGTTTATCGTTAGTTATTGTTATATGTTGTCATTTTGCGCGTAATAACTTTTCAATGATCCTAAGAAAATATTTTTCTTGCATTTATTACGCCCAAATGCTATATATTATGTACAAAGTTTATTATTCGTCATAGATTTTGTTATTCGTCATGAATTTCGACATTCGTTATTTTTTTCAACCCGAGGCTGCCTAACGAATATTCCGTCATTCATTAGTCAAAATATTAGACCAACATTACGAACCGTGTTAGATAAATTCAAAGACCATTATAATATAACAAAATAAAATCACTCGAATATTTTCTTTGATATTAGTAGTGAATGTTCAATCAAAAGTGTTGCAAAGATATGAGCTCACGAATAATTGATACGGAGGAAAGAGAATTCAGCTCTTTGAGTTATCTTCATTTGAACAAGGTAGAATTAAATAATAATAAAATGATCATTTAAGTAATAAAAAAGGATCATTTAAGTAAGAATGCGTTGAACAATTAGCACAGTTAAAGAAATGACATATTGCTTGCTTCGCTTAAAGTAATCAGAAGAATATTTATGTGATATTCGTTATTTAATTTTAAAATAAAAGATTTTATTTTTTTTATATATATTAATATCAATTGAACTTATGTTGACTTCTGGTATTTTTTTTTTAATAGTTTATGAATAGTCAAGCGTTACTCTAGGAATATAATCAGACGGTGATTGAAATTAGTGGCTTAACCAACAGGAGGAACGTTAATCTTACACCAAGTGAGGGATTATATCCATCACACTTAAAGTTACATATAAATACAGTAACTTCAGTTTAACTGATCACCTCGTGTGAAAGACGGGTGAGGAAATATATCCATAATATACATTTCAGAGTAAACACAAAATAAACAATTTTATTATTGATTAACTACATCGTGTGAAGGATTAATGTATAACATTGATGGTTTCTCCTGTTGGCTTAACCCGTTACAAATTACGGGCACGTTCACAACTCCGAATTCCAGGGGGTATCAGATCTGCTGTGATAATACATACTCCTTTTTGTATTTTTTTAATAACGTTAAATTAAAAATTAGATCGAGTACGCTAGTTTTCTAATATTTACAAGATCTTAATGAGTATGAAATTATTGGTGTTTTTAATATCACCCCAAAAATACATACCATCAAGAATACATAGAAACGTCTACTGCTACAGTAGTGTAGCGTTAAAATTTAAACCAAAGTTACGTGTACAAATATATATTTTTATATATCGTGCAATTTTTTTAATTGCACACTTATATAAATTTTAAAGTATCAAACCAAATTATTGCACTGTGCAAGTCAATTTTAAACTCTGAATACAAATATGAAAGGTACCTGTTTCAATGGTTAAACATTATGACAAAACGATTGTGTACAGCTTTTATTTGTCTCACAGAACAAGATTATAAATTGGGCAGTATCTGCACAATAAATTAAAATTGATTACGACCATAATCTTTTTAATGAATTTTTTACAAAAATATATATTATTTCTCATTATTTTATTTTATTTTAATATAACAAAAATAATATGTGATCCATCTGATCCACGATCTGGACAATCAAGCGCAATTATCGATAACAAATTATACATCATTGGGGGTATTTCAATAACATATTCAGCTCTTCAAAATGGAACAAATGAGATTATTTGTTTAGACTTGATGAAATCATTTGATATTAATTCTCCACCATGGGAAGATATGACCAAAACTATTGGATTACCTGTCTTATCGTATAACACGCATATTGCATTGGGTGGAAAAAATAATTCATTTATTTTTATGTACAGTGGAATAGAAAAGAGCTTAGCAACATTCAAATTTCAGGTGGACAAATTATTATATATATTTGATACAAACACTAAAACTTGGTCAGTTCCAACTACTGCAAATTTGCCTCAAAAACCACGCGATGCTGCTAGTTTTACGAGTGATGGGAAAGGAAACATTTATCTTTATGGTGGATATGAGCTCAATGAAACATCATCAACTCTTGAAAATCCACCTGCACTTAATGATGCATATGTATTTAATACTATTTCATTATCATGGACCTCTTTGAATCCAAGTCTTACTCTTCTTCGACGGGCAAAATGTTCTTCCGTTTTTTTAAATGATGGTAGGATTTTATACATTGGTGGTGAATCTAGTTATGGAGTACCATATAACATGACTTCGGTAATGTAAAAAATAACATATTTTATTTACAGTTATATTGTTATTATATTATACTAACGATGTAATTGATATAATAAGGTTTATGTATATAACACAGTATACGGAATGTGGTCTGAGGAGGTATGATAAGAATACATACAATATAGTAATTAATTTTTACAGTATATTCACATGATATTTTATGTAGAACGTAGATAGTAGTGAGGTGATAGTTGAGGAACGTATCGAACATTCATCTGTACTTCGTAAGTAATAACTTCAATTTCAGTCATCCCTCCATATAGTCACCTCCATACATTCGCATAATTTGTAATTCACGTTCACGCTTAAGCAAACTATGATTTAATTTATAAGAAAAAACCTAAATATAAGCATAACTCCTTTATAGGCTCATTTTTAAAAACATTTACTCTGTGATTTTTTACATAGTTTCAAATGGAGACATAATAGTATATGGTGGGTGGCGTCCAGGTGGTGCCACTAATGGTACTGTTGCACAACCTACACTTGTGATCCTAGAAACCAAATCAATGTTTCGTTGGAGAAAACAGAATGTTACCGGCAAATTTTTACATCTTAACCGGCATTCATGTCATATTGTTAATAATAGATATATGTTCGTCGCTTATGGTATGTTTATTCTAACACTACAAACTTTATTAGCCTTTTTTATTAATTTCTTTTTGTACATCTATGTCGAAGGCCATACTATTGAAGGAACTGTTACAGTATCGAGAAATGAACTTTATATTCTTGGCACGACCAATTATACATGGATTACAAGATTTGGACAAAATTTATTTGATGAAACTATATCACCCAAAAATTCAAATAATTCATTGATAATAGGATTTTTGATATTTACATCAATATTAGCAGCAGTGTTAACAGTAATATTGACTACAATATTAGTTAGTCAGTGTTATCATAAAAGAAGAATTTTAAGAATTTATTGAGCCAATCCAGACTCGCAACAGATATATTAAAGAAAAGGCAAAAAGAATACAATAAATCTTGTAGCTACGATATTCAGATTTTTATATTAGGGTTTCAAATTAAAAATCCGAAAATCTTATTTTATTTTTCCGATTTACAATTCAACATAGTAAAAATATTACGTATAGACGAGAAATAACAACTGTGCTAGCGTTACGAACCTAAAAAATTTCGTTTCAAGATTAGTTGTTACGCAAACAATCAAAACAAACCAAAAAACGATCATTTTACCTACTAAACTATCTCCTGCGCATTAATAAAAAGTTTTCCTTGCGAAATTTTGACATTAGGAAAACTCTCCCTAACCTAAATTAATAGCAAAGTATAGCACTAATCTAGCTGTGGATTTTTTTTTTTAGGTTGGTAACGTTGAAAAAAAAACGCCCACGGGTATAATTTCGAATTTTGGCCTAAATTAGCTTAATTCTGACCATCGTTCAAAATAAAACATCTGGGCGTTATTTATTGTTTATACGGTATTCGAAAAATCCTATTTATTTTATAAAATGTGTGGTTGTTTCCTAATTTTGAAACCCTCATTAACTGGATTGAAATCAATGGATGTACCAAAAGTGTGCCTTTATAATTTATACGTAAAGGAAATTTGCAGTTAAATTTCATTCATATCCGGAATTTATGCATGAAGTTATGAGATTTTTGAGAATCATCTAAAGGAACAACTCAATTTTGTCTTCGTCAAGTAAGTAAGTTTGCTTGAAAATCCAAAGTCCGAATCCTTAATATCTCATTAGCGGAAAGAATATTAATCACGAATAAGAATCACTTGGTTAAATGAATTTGAAGATTTTCACGAATATAGTTAAATATAGATGGTTATTATACAAATTAACCAATAAGTAGTTGCGCGACGTTGTCACGCAAAACCAGGAACGGAAGATGGATTTTCAGATCGAGTTGCAGACGAAACTGCTTTCATCA